CGGCAAGCTGCCACTTGGCCACTACAGTGAGCAATGAGGAAAGGGGACCCCAAGTTCCAGGACCCCTTCCACCAGTATCCTATGTAATATTCTCTCTGAGGCTTATTTGAGCAGATAGGGCTGCCCAGCTCCCTGCCTCTCAACAGTCTGTACAAATTCAAAGAAATGTGAGTTCAAGGAACTCATTTAAAGAACAGGAAAAGCAACTTTCTGCTCAAGGTTAAGGTAAGTGAGGGCTGAACCGTGGATCAGAAGACTTGCTAAGTTTTCCTCCACCTTCAAGTCATTCATTCTTCCTTCTGTTCCCAAGGAGGCCATAAACACATCTTCCTCCGCCACTGTTTAATCTGCTGGCTAATTTGTCTGCTGCTCCCAACCAGCACCTTGGCCCTGGAAATGAAATATTAACTGCATCAGCCTCACAGCCATCTCCAGCCATCTGACGCTAACAGAAAAGCAGGAAAGCTCGTGGTGGTTTGTGCATTAGGGCCGGCAGTGCCTTTCTTAACTCCCCGCTGTCTGGTAGGGCTGAAGGCAGACGTTGCTGTAAAGGCGAGGGCTGTTTTTAGCACGACAGCCCAAAGACCTGGGGTCCTTCCTGTGGCTGTGATCACGGGAACCAGCTTCTTACTGCTCTTCTTTCGCTCTCGCGTATACTGGACAGCAACTTGCTTTCAGGTGAGACATCCCATGGGCAGAAGAAATCCTTTCACTTCTGTGAGCATTTGTGAAGACCAGCATGGGTTCAACAGGTGCCTCTGGAGGATTATACAGGAGATAAAAACAGACCAAATAACCAGTGAGACAGCACTTATAAATCATAGAAAACCATATACAATGACAGCTTCTGAATTTCTGCAGATAAAAGGCTGAGGATAGAAACTGGGTTGGAAGATGCCATAGGAACTCGCCCTGAGGCTGTGATTTCATAACACATAAGACTGGGAAAGACATGAAAGAATGGGAGTCTGATGGAGATGAGGGGGGAGAAGAGATAAAGCCCCCCCAGTCCACTCTCACCTCTCCCAGGAACTCAGATATCATTATTTTTATAGCAAGGAGAACATTAACAAACAGTTAAGCAATGAGCCAAGTGTTTGCAAGTAGAATGTCATTTATTTCTCTCAGAGACACTCTGAGTTATCTTCCCTAATTTTACAGACTGTAAAGAAAAAATGAATTCTCCCTAGAAGTCACATGAAGGGACAGACATGCCCCGAGGCCAAGAAGGGAAACAGCCTGTGCAGAGCTTGAAAGGGCAGAGTCCAATCCAGAGCCCTGGCTGAGGCGTCTGCCTTCCACCAGGGCACCTGGCCCCAAGCTATGTTTTGTTCATGGAAGGTGTAAACAGTGGGGCCCAGAGATGAGGCTAGAACAGAGATGGTCGGGCCAGGTTTATTGAAAGGGGGGAGTGGTGGTACATACACACCATGGAATACTATTCAGCTGTAAAAAGATGGTGACTTCACACCTTTTGTAATATCCTGGATGGTGACTTCACATCTTCTGTAACATTCTTCTTAGTAAAGTATCACAAGAACAGAAAAGCAATTATCCAATGTACTCAATACTAATATGAAGTCAGTAGATGATCTAATGCATACCCACACGGGAGAAAAACTCATTCCAATTCAGGTTGGGGGGAGGGGTAAGAAGGGAGGGAGAGGGGTTGGAGTGCCCTCACTGAATGGGCACAGGGTGGGGGTGTTTGGCATACCTTTTGTATATGAGACATAACCACAAGAGGGACTCTACCTAACAAAATCAAATTTTTGACCTGGTTGTCTGAAGCCTCACAGTAACCTGAAATAAATTTACTTGAAAAAAAAAAAAAAGAAAGAAAGGGATAAGTGACCCACCTGGGCAGTGCAATGGTGGCATCAGCACCTGGTGACAGTTAGAGACCCCTTTTTATATGGGGCTGTAGGGAGTGGGCAAATTCCATAGCTTGCCCAGAAAGTTAGGGTCCTTTGGCTCTAACTTCTGGGGTGGAGTGTGGCCTAACTAGATCCATTGTGTCTTTGTTTTAGGAGGAAAAGACAAAGAGGAGGAGGAGAAGCAGGAGGAGAGGGTTTGTGTGTGGCTACACTAGGCCTCCCAGCGGTTCATCCATCTTACACCTGCCATAGACCCCGCCAAACTGACGGTCCCTGACCAGGTAGAGTGCTTCCCCTAACCACACGCTGCCCCTAACCACACGCTGCCCCACGGTCCCACCAAATCATGGGCTGTTCTCTCCCGTCTCTGCCTCTGGCTTTCATTTACTGTTCACACCAGCAAGCTCTCTCTCTCTTATGCCTAGAGGAAGATTGTTTTGGGCATTAACAATAAATTCTTAAAAATTACTTCTAATCTGTGGAAGGTATAAATCACAGTCACAAACATAATACACATTTTGGGGACTTTTCAAAATGACTTCCAGAATAATTTGGGATGGTTCAACAGTAATTATCTAGAAAGGCAGGCTTATTTGCACCCTGCTAACTATTCTTTTGATAATAATATAGC